TCCCCAGTTCACACAGCGCGGATCAGTTTAAACACAGCAAGTCTTCTGCCAGCCCTCTGTCACTGGACTTCCCTGGAGTCGGAACGCCTAGCAAAAAGTGTCCTAAAATCGTTGCACGGAGACACAGAAGTTTGGGCTGGCTCTAACGTAAAAGCAACCGTCCTGAAATCCCAGCGCCTCGAGCAGCAGAGCACGTTAAAAAAATCTTCGTAAGCACAGCGTGAAAATGAGCAAGTTTGCATCTCTTATGCGCCCAAAGGAGAAGTGACATCAAACCTGGCAAGGCGTACACAGACACACCGAAACCACTGACCAGGCTTCATCTCACCTTACAACAGGATTTGATGTAACTCCAGCGACATTTGACAGCAGAAAAATAAGGGATCAGAAAACAGGCACGTCAGATAAGTCTACAGGTCAAAACCCACCGTGAATACCCCTCCCAAGAACCAGCAGAGAGCTTGTACTTGTCAACGACAGCTGAAGACAGGAGGGATCTGGCAAACCCCAGCGAGCCCACGCGCCTGCTGACTGGGTCTCTGTGCTGGTGGCCCAGAAGGAGCCCCGCTACGTGCACAGGCAGCAGATGGCAATAGTACTTTCTGATTTTGGAGAAAAACCTGCCTTACATAAATGCAGTTCAGCAATTAACATGCTTGTATTCCACACGTCCCATGTTCACTTCAGCTCCCCATAAAGGATAACGAAGCTCGAGGCAAACACCGGAACTGAGATTTCTATCACAGGCAACTGGCAGAATGAGAAGTGTTATCTACAGGATTTACCTTGATCAAAAAAAGACCAGCTTAGTGAAGTCCCCACGTGAACAGGGCTCGGGGTTTTCTTTGGTACTCCCATGCAGCATTACTGAAATGTCAGTAAGACTGACAACGCTGTCAACAGCCACGCGGACCGCGGCCGAACAGCCTGCCTCTGCTACCGCAGCTGCTGGAAATACACATACTGGAGCCAAGCTTTGACCAACACACATAACTAAAACCAAGAAGTGTATCATCTTAGCTACATTTTGATGATTCTAAAATACTAAATTTTAGTTTCAATGCCGACAAAAAAGCATCCGTCTTTCTGATGTCAGTCTTCCACACCCTACTAGCATACTCATACAAACCGCAACAACCTTCCTTCGCCAGGAACATTTTCCCCTTGTCAGCCTCTATTGTGTTCAGTTCAACATCTCCTCCTCTTTCTAACCTGGACTCTTTGTTTTTTAACTGATGGTATTTATAATATTCCACTGTCGTAGCAGTATGAAGGAGCAATACATTCATATTGTGTATGAAGCAATGGAAAATACACACAGTTGTTCAAGCATACTGTCTACATGTCCTGCACGTTTCATGGTAAACAGCACCAGTTTCTGTTCCTTCTTAAAGCATAAATACTGCTGGCAGCAATGTTTCCATGTTTCAAACAGCACAATGCTACATGTGAAGATGCATATCATTATATGGGCA